GAAGGTGGAACGCTCTCTTGGGTCTCAGGTGTGATGACTCACACACACAGAGGCAAGACAGGAGATGTCTGATTTGAAAGGGTGGAGGACCGGAAGGGCATAATCTGACAAGGTGCAAGGAAGCACAATGCTGGCAGGCCCAGGAGAGGAGGGGGATCCGCAGAGAGGAGCAATAGAGGGGGCTAGGCACTAGGAATGAAAACCCCAAGGTGATAATTATCTTCTCAGAAAAGACAGCCGTGTCTTCGAGTGTTTGAGTCACAGTTTTTGTAAAGGATACAGAGGAGCCGCAACTCCTTCCTTCTGTCTTTTCTTTGGACAATAGCAGAGAAAACAGGCTATTGTGCAGCATGGGCCCTGAAGTAAACTTTTCTGAACCGTGTGGGACAGGGATGAGGGCAGTTGTGAAATGTGCTTTTCTTGTAACTTTGAGGTTTCATAGGATCTTGGAGACTGGGTGAGTAGGCTGGGCTGATTGTGGAAGTCAGTGACTCGAATTTAACATTCTCAGCCTGGAACCAAGTCTTCCCATCTCTGTCCCTCGCCAACCCCACCTCACCCCACATCCCCCTATGGCCACAACACTGAGGGCCTGGCTCCAGGGCTCTGCACCTCCCACCCCAGGCCCTGCTTTCCTCTGCAGCTCTGCCGTCCCAAGTTGTCATCTGCTCTGAGAGCACCAAGGTCACCCCCTTGCTAACCTGGTACCTAGTCTCATATAGTTAATGGTGGTAAAGGAATTCCAGCTCCATCTAGGTAACACACGAACTTAAAATAGTCAAGTTTCATGCACAGGGAGCTCTGAATCACCATTTTAGTTAAAAAGGAAAATAAAGTTCTTTTATCTAACTGAATTTTCGAGTTACAATTTAAGTGTGTTTCCCCCTGCAACGTAGTCTGCGGACGGTTAACTTGTCAAGATAATACTCAGTTATCTGGACACAGTAAGTGCCTCACACCTTAGTTTCTATTTCTTTTAATGCTGGCTCCTATGGCTATTCTCTTGTTAACCGTATTCTTCTAAAGAATAACCTGGGAACTTGCAGAAAATTTAAGTATTTTCTACTTAATACCTGCACAATTACAGATCCTGGGGGTGCAGTCACATGACCTGTGTTTTGACAAACTCTCCAGGTGATTCGGATGCAAGCTCAAGTTTGAGTCGCTGTTCTAAAGTTTATAGCAAAGGGTTAAAAGCACCGACCAATATGAAGCAAAGTAGACGAGCTCATTCTGACTCTTCCATCCCTTAAGCAATTCTACTTAAGGAAAGACATGACCTGGTGCTTGTCGGGGAGTCGGGGAGTAGGGGTATGGACTCACTGCTAAGGATTTAAAAAACTCTGCTATTAATACATCAGGACTCTGTTCTGGAAAAACAACATAAAAGCATGAACATATCAGAGATGTAGGACAAAGGAAGCCACTCGATGTTCATTGAGTGTGTACGATTTGCCAGTCACTGCCTTTACATGTCTGGTTCTGTTTAATTCTTAAAACATGAGGCTGTAACTACTTTACCAGATGAGGAAACCATGCTCAGAGATTAGGTAATTTTCCTAAGAACGCAGATGGTAAGTAATGGATGGGATTTAAGTCCCAGTCGAAGTTAAATGTCTTTTTCTCAAAAGATGATGCCAATGGGTCATTAGTGACAAAATTCATACATAGAAAAAGTATCCAACATTACTGCGACATCTTTATTCTTTTAAAATCACACAGGACACAGGTCATATTTAACATTATCCAAGTCGTTTTTTTTTTTTTTTTTCTTTTTTTGAGACAGGGTCTCTGTCGCCCATGCTGGAGTGCAGTAGGGCAATCCCAGCTCGCTGCAGCCTCGACCTCCTGGGCTCAATCTATTCTCCCACCTCAGGTAGCTGGAACTACAGGCATGTGCCACCATGCTCAGCTAATTTTATTTTTTGCAGAGATGAGGTCTCACTATGTTGCCCAGGCTAGTCTTAAACTCTTGGGCCCAGGTAATCCTCCTGACTTGGCCTCCCCAAGTGTCAGGATTACAGGTGTGAGCCCTCACACCCGGCCAGCCCTCACACACCAACGTGTGCCATCTTGCACTTTAATATCCACTGTTTATTCTGGGGAAACAGCACTTCACAGTTGCTCAAACATTGCACTACGAGACTGAAATCTGGATTCAGATCATCATCTTACATTTAACTAGAGGCAAACAGTGTAAGTTTGCTGGGCCCATTTTCTTTGCCCCTGGACTGTCGTTCTTATCCCCACCTAAGGAGTTAGTAACCCAACCCAGCTTATCACCAGCACCAGATCTGGAGTGCAAGCAACTGGCCTTCCCAGTCAGCTCATGGATGAAGATCTTCCATCAATGCAGGCCCAACAGCACCTTCTCCCAGGAGCTCCCAACCCATGTGCCAAGCCCTACAGAATTAACATATAAGCCCTGCAAACCATGTACGAATCATGGTCTAAACAGACCTTTTGAGCTTGTTAATCGGAATATTTTGTAGCATCCAGTCTTATGCTAGTCCAAGAACTCTAGAATCTGTAGAACTGTTGAACCAAATACAAGCAATAAACTCTACTGCCAGCACTCAATTAGCTGCACCGCTGGAGAGGAACAGTGACATGGTGGATTAAAAAAAAATTGGTTCAGTTTGACTTTGGAATGCACTGTTTTTTTTTTCAGTAGATTAACTTTTCTAATTATATTTTGCACAGCCTAATATTAACAGGCATTTGTATTCCCTGGGCACACAACATCTGACATTGAGAGCTAGGAGATGCAGCCCAAAAATGTGCTGGTCTCAGAGAATAACAATGTTATGAAAAATCCACGGGTGGATAATGAAGAGGAAGCTAATTATGAAGTGCTCTGCAAATATCAAATCATAAGCAGAGAAGGCAAAATAGTAATTATCTATCGACATGTGGACAGAGTAAAAAAGTTTATTAACATTCTAAAAAGGACAGAAATTTTCAAGAATCATCATTAGTGTTAATAAAGCTTGATGAAAAAATTCGGATGCAAGGAGGGTCAGTGAGTTATTGGGTGGTCTTTCAAGTAAGCAAACCTCAAGCAATAATACCAAAGCGTTTTAAAAGAGCGTTTAAAATGAATTTTATTCTTTGAATTTTACAAGTAGTCTTTAGAGGCTTCAAACAAGAACTCTGTTGCAAAACTCTAATAAATAGCTTGCCCCAAGTCCCCAAACAAAATGTAAAATGAAATGAGAACTAAACTCAGAAGGATAAGCAAGACTTCAGAATGCTTGGATGTTAGCAATATTTCTCATTTACAAAGAGGTATCAGGCAATGTACAATCTCCTTCATACAAGTCAAAGAGAGAAAGAGACAGACGATTGAAATCTTTACAAAGCACTCCGAAATCTTCCTACTTCCATGATAGAAATGTCACCAGAAAAAAAAAATCCCATGGAGAAATCACAATCAAGAATGAAACTGTAGCATAAAAATCTGGTAGTGAAGGTAGCGGGGAGAAGAGAGGAAAATCCATCCTGTTTCTTTCTGGGATGGAGAGAGGAAGGAATTGAGATTCCCTGGGGGAGGGAACTTCCAATCAGATGCCGCTAGAGTGCTGAATGTTCCCTTAGACCAGAGTTGCCACTGAAAGGGCAGAGGGGTCGGTTTAGTGACAGTTACAAAGGCAACAAACAAAGGGGTCTCCTCAGGTCAGTCGACACTGGCCAGCCCCATGTCTCTGTGCTCTACAGCAGCGAGGGCCTTGGAAGAGTGACCCAGGGGCCCGAAGCAGCCTGCGTCACAAGACAGTTAAAATAGCACATCAATAATTTCTGCAGCGGAATCCTTTGGATGGCCATGAAAGGATGCAGAAAATACCGTGCTGAAATTTCACACTGGGACATGCAGATTTCAAAAGCCCATTCTACTATCACAATCATTGCTTCTAACAATCAAGGATTAAAATTCACAAACATTCACTGTTAGCTTTTCCTAGTTACAAATACTGGTGAAGTCTTGCTCTGGAGAGAAAGATTAATTTAGAGATATGGTCATTTTGAGCAAGCTAGAAAAACCAATTGTGCCACATTTTTTAAAACGACGTATACTTTTGACCAAAATGCATTCAAAATGCATACAGATAATAAGGTTTTAGTTTGGGGGCATTCTGAAATCAATTACTGTTTGGAGCCAGGAAGCTGTAAGATAGGTTGATTCCAATTTAGTGGGGCTCAATTAAGCCAAACAAAAAAGAGTCCTGCAGCACAAGTGGGACCATCTTCCTGGGGAAAGGGAGAAGCAGGAAATGACCTCACAATGCAGGACTGAGAAGGGGTGTGGCCTGCAAGCACTGTCAGAGATGCTCTGGTTTACTGACTTGCTGTTAAATAACCCTGGTCCTGCTGATCTCTGGAGGACAGGTACACACAGCACTAGCTCATGCACGAGTCATTCAAGGGAGGTAGGCATTTTCTCAAAGCAACTCCCTCTCCAGGCATTTTAGGGAAGAAGGTAAGGAAATAGCCCTCTCTACTCCCCAAAGAAGTTATAAAAACATTCTTTTTCTAGGAATAATGACATTTGTTAGAATAACAAGGGAAAGCTTGGGTTACCTGAAGTTGATAAGAAAGCTGATGGGAATAGAGGCAGATGGGCCAGGGGGCACCCTGGTCCAAGGCCCAGTTTCTTCTTAAATACATAACAGATAAAGATATTGTGCAAAAAAATAAAGACATTCACATTTTAGCAGTTAAACTTTTACTGTTTAAAATTTTTATTTACTTTTTTTGTTTTTCTTTTCTACAAAAGGCAGGTGATGATTGTTGATCTGCAACTATTGTGTTGTGCACTCCCCGAAAAGGGGCAGAGTAGGAAGCCAGGGAAGGTGCTCTGAGGATGCTTTCTATGGAAGGAAAAGGGCTGCAGGACACTCACTGGAGGGAGTGTCCGGGCCCTTCTCCTGTCCTCCTCAGCCTTCCCTAGCTCATGTCTATGGTGTTGAAGACCCATTCCGTGAACTTCTTCAGCTTGTCCGAGGCGTTCTGGGACTCCTCCTGTAGCCTCAGGTTGTCCTCTCGCAGGTGCTGCACCTCCGCCTGAAGGTGGGCTTTGTCTTCTTTTTCCTGGGAGGTAGAGTGAAGTAGAAAAGCTAAGAGGTGTGGCCCCACCTTGCCCAGCTCTTCTGAGAAGTAGCTATGGACCTGTTTTGATCTTTTGCCCATTTCTGTTTTTTGTTCCTCCAAACACCTGTCTAAACAGCCTGGTAGCAGGTGCTAAGACACTCTCAGCTCAGGGAACAGGGCTTCTAGAGAGATTCAACCTCGCAGGATTAGCTGTAAGTAATGCTGGAATGTAAGTACATTAATATGTATTTTAACGTCCTTGTTAGTCAGGATTGTCTTAAATTGTAGACAATTGTTTTGGTGGTTGATGTCTTGGTATAGTCAAGGCCGCCCCAAAAACAAAACATTCAGTTCTTTTGGTGCAAAAGCCCCAATAACACCAACTACATGGGAGTCTGGGCTACCGACACATTACACAAGGAGTGGGGAGGCCGGGAGAGGACCCAGATGGGGCTGGCTGGGGTTCAAAGTTTTTCACAAATTAGTGAACAGTTTTTCTGTACGCCTGACGCCAAACACCTCCTTGCACTGTGTGTTCCGGTGGCAACTGAGATCCCTGCAGCCCCAAACACGTGCAGGCACCAGGAAGACACCCACATCTTATTTCACTACGCTACTTAAAAAGGGCTCTCAAGGTTCAAGGGCAGTTTGCACAGACTGGGCAATTTGCTTTGAGAATACGTGTTTACCTTCTTCAAATCTTCCCGAAGCATCTTCAGCATACCTTCCAGCTGGTCCACTTTAGAAGCCAGAGTGGGAGAGGAATCTTTACTGCTGGGAACAAGAAACAAAAGACCATGTTGGCAGGGGCCTCCATGGCTGGGATTTGTTTTTTTAATCTGAGGAGGCTGTATTTATAAAATGGTTTTCAATGTCAAATTACTCGGTATGGCGACCCAATGAGTATTTTTACTTTACAAAATAAAATGGTAATCTTAAAAAAAGGTAATACAAGCTTGAACTGCAGGAAATCAATAGCTTCCTTTGTTAAAGATGCTGCATCTTCACGACTAAAGAATGAAGCGCAATAGTGAAAATGGTCTCTCTGGCAGCACAAGAGGTACTTTCTGGCAGACATACTTGTCAAACAGTAAAATGATTCCCAGGGAGGCTCTGGGATCTCTAGTGGGCTTTGAAAGAGGAGTTGCTCCCCTGTGTGTGGGAAGGAAGCTGGGGAGCTGATGTGATAGGCAGGTTGTCTCTGGTCCCCAAGTGTGTGGTCTTAGCTACTCATGCAATTGCAGCTAAGGCATCATGCCTACATCTCAAACCACTAGGACTCAGCAAGCGCATGTATAAGCATGACCATCAGCGACACTGTGGAAGATACTGAAAACCCAGACTGCAGGACTACACAGCCCAGACAGCGGGGATACTTAGAGCAAATTCTCTCTCCTACCTGACCCAACCGGTCCTGAGGGCATAAATGTATTATGGCATTAAATAATAATGAATATTTGTCATTATGGCCATATAAGTCATCAAGAATAGTTTAATTATATCTATTGTATTTAGTTACAAAGTGTTCTGACTAAAATGTAAAGTGGCCCCGTGGTGATGAGCTTCACTCAGCTATTCCGTGTGGCTTCCATCTCCTCTCCCCACAGCTGCAGTCACTGGCAGGTGTGACACAAGGTACAGAGTGCTGCCCTCCCACGGGGACCAACCTGCTGAAAGGCTTCATCTGGGCCAGAGCCTGGTCCTCCAGCTGATCACTGTTGGATGCAGCACTCAAGGGGCGATGGTTTTCATCACTAGCAGCAAAAAACGAGGCTCTCTGGACTGGAAAGGAGAGAAGAAACCATTGAGTATTTTGGAACCACACCCTGGGCCCTATCTATCAAAGTCAACAAGTGGTCTAGTTGACAGTCATGTCTAGTATTTCCAGTGCAGGATGCACTGGAAATCTTATTTCCCAGCTCTCACAGGGAAAAATATGACTGTTTTAGCTGTAAGAGGATTGTACCATTGTAATTTCCCTTTAAAAAACATTTGTGAGTCAATTTCTAGTCCCCCCTCATCACAGTAGCATTCTATGAAATGTTTCTCTGGAAACAGTCCTTGTGCCAAATTTCCAGACCAAGGCTTTCCACTCAGCAATGAAATAAATGCATTCGAGAGCTAGCATTATACTTAAAACTTCTTGAAGTATGTCTTCCACAAGATTCCTGGACACTCTGGTTGGCTTTAACATAAATCCATACCAGCTGTGTTCCAAAACATACCAAGTTAAAATTTAAGCCAAGAAAACTAAATCAAATTTAAAATAATCTCCTATTAAAACCCAAAACTTCTACCATTTGTATATGAAGGAGATTAACCAACAAACTGAAAAATCAAGTTAGAACTAGGTATTTCCATCTGCTAGATAAACAGCATGAAGGTAAAAGCATCCGCTGCTGACCACTCCATGGTTGCCCGACTTACAGGTTCTGTGGCCTAGTAAATTTCCCCCCAAAATTCAAACTTGACTAAATAGCAATTTTCAATTCTCCTAATTAAGAGCAACAACAACAACAAAAACAGAAAAAAAAATCACCTGCTATAATTTTGTAAAGAATAAGAACTATACATTTTAGAAAGATCTTTAAATGTAGAAAAAAGTCAGTCTTCATTCAAAAAACAAAACAAAAAACCCAGCTGCCAATCTTATGTCTACACACACATACCGCACTACTTTTTCTGTTTTCATTACAGCAGACAAGATCAGTACCAGTCTGAGGACCTGCATTTAAGAACTGCCAGCCTAAAGTGAGCACACGGCCAGCAGGCTGGCAAGGAGACAATGCAGACAGACAACGTGCTACTGCACACGGAGACGAGGGAGAACGGCAAGGGAGATGCCCCACATTTGTCAGGACAGGCACGTGGCCAAGCAGGGCAAGCACTGTGACACTTAGCAACAACGTCTTTGCGACGTGATGAAAGATCCTCTCTGGATACGTGTTCTTTTCAGTCAAGGGACAGCTGGGATTCCTCTTCCCACTGCCCTTCCCATATACAGAGGAGGTGAGGCATTCATGTTATGAATCCTGTGGAGGAAACACCAGGTGGCATCTGATTACATAAAACGTGCTTAAGTGTCCAGCTTAGGGTCTGGTCCCTACTGAGTGCTCAGTAACTGGTAGCTCATCTGGTGAGGCACATATGTTGTGTGTCCAGAGAAGTAGAGTGGACGGAGACTGCTCACTCCGCCGGCACCCTGCAGGGTAGCCCTGCAGGATCCTGGGCTGTCCTGTGTGGATTCAGTGGACTCACCCTCGTAGGCTTTGGCAGCATCTACCAGGTTGGACCAATCCAAGTCCGCAGCAGTGTCAGGCAGGGGCATCAGGCCAGGGTCGGGCATAGGCTGCCTGCGGGTCTCCTGGATGTCAGTGAGGGAGCTGTCGGAGGCCGAGAACTCTCCTGCAGGAAAGGAGGAGGAATGAGATGCTTCTTGTGCCTGTGGGAGAGCCACTCAAAACTTACCTGTTTCCTGTTACCACAACAGATTGTAAGCCATTTGTGACTGTTATCAATGTCCAGGTTAGCAGACTGTTAGTGGCTATTCTAAAGCTGACTTGAAATAGGAATGGGCTTCCTCTAGTCTGTCTTCATTTTTTTACAACCTCCCATTCTCTCCCTTCCAGCAGTGAGTCATGGCCAAGTTAGTTTTGCACTGAGGCACTAAGTCTGCTTTTGTGAGAGCTGTCTGTCCACAGCAGGGCCTGGCCAGCACTAGCACCTCCTTTCCCGCAGAGCCAAGGGATTTGGGCCGGGAAGAAGAGGCCCACTTCAACAGAGAGCTGGATTTTACAGCCAGACCAGGGATGTTTCTTCCTATTAGAGGGGACAATAGGGCTTATTTTTAAAAATTTTTTTATTTTTTGAGACAGAGTCTCACTCTGTAGCCCAGTCTGGAGTGCAGTGGCACAATCTCGGCTCATTGCAACCTCCGCCTCCCAGGTTCAAGCAATTCTCCTGCCTCAGCCTCCCAAGTAGCTAGGACTAAAGGTATGTACCACCATGCCCAGCTAATTTTTGTATTTTTAGTAGAGATGGGGTTTCACTATGTTGGCTAGGCTGGTCTTGAATTCCTGACCTCGTCGTGATCCACCTGCCTCAGCCTCCCAAAGTGCTAGGATTACAGGCGTGAGCCACTGCACCCAGTTTAATAGGGTTTGTTTTTATCTGGCCTGGGAGTGGTACGGGACAGAAGGCCCATGCCTGCCCTGTCTGCTATTCAGGGGCAGCCCACTGGGTTCCATGGTCAAAGGTGTCCAAGGGGGTGTGAGGGGCAAATCAAGGGATGTGAGTGTGCTGGGTTACTCAGACAGAGCTAAGACAGGAAGGTGATTTTAGGGGTGGAACTGGTATTATTCTTCCCAAAGATGCAGTCATCACATGAGCTATTCTTTGGATCAATTTTGGGTTGCAGCAGTCTAACATCCCAAGCTCTTCCTAAGGGGACAATTTATTGAATATAAATATTAAACCACTGTAACAACAAACTGACATATTAACAACTAAGCTCTGCTTAGCCTGGGGCAGGGAGGATTGGGCAGAGTGAGCCACCCTGAACACTGAAGGCAGCTCCTACTGCTCCGGTTAATGCAGGCAGATAACAGGAAGGGTGGCTGTTGGGGTCCAGGGAAAATGTTGCTCATGACATAAAAATGTGCTCAGTAGGCAGAAGCTGGGTGGAAGCGAGGGCAGAGCAAACCACTCCACGAGAAGGAGCACCCTTGGAAGGTGACTGCAACACTCAGGTCCATGCAAACACAAAGTTAAGCAAAACGCTCAGCTAGAATACTTAAGTGACTCCAGAAAGTCTGTTTCCCAGGAGTTAAAGAGTTTCATGTATTAGCCGGGCGAGGTGGCGGGCGCCTGTAGTCCCAGCTACTCGGGAGGCTGAGGCAGGAGAATGGCGTAAACCCGGGAGGTGGAGCTTGCAGTGAGCTGAGATCCGGCCACTGCACTCCAGCCTGGGCGACAAGGCGAGACTCCGTCTCAAAAAAAAAAAAAAAAAAAAGAGTTTCATGTATTATGACAGCCCGGTAAGCCAGTGTATTAAGTGCTTTGTTTTCCCTTTCAAATTACAAAAAGAACTTCTCTGAAGTACAGCTGCTGGTTATTACTGTGCTTAAAATTAGCAAAATTATGAGTAAATGGAAGTTAACAAATACTGCAAGATAGTAAACGTTAAGTTCTACTTAAATGTGCTCCCACCAAGGGTAAGTAGGAGGAACAGATAATTCTGTAACTCACAACCCTTCTGCCCTTTTATCTCTGGGGCCCGACTTTCCATGTGGGGGATGAAAGAAGTCACCCTTCCTCATTCCCCAAACACATTTCAGTGGAAGTCACCAAGCAAGGTAGGGCTGAGGGATCAGCCCAATGAGGACTGCTTGGTTAGGATGTGAAATCACTGCACCTGCTATCTTATTCAGGAAAACAAGAAAAGCTGATGGGAAGGGCCTCAGAGAGGGCTGCCTGTTCCTTCCCTTCCACTATGGACTCACATGGGCACTTTAGTCCCAGGACTCCTCGTCTGGACAATGACCATGTGTGGGAGGCAGATTTCTGGGCTGCTCTTTTGGAATGTAGGCTTCTACAACTCAGGGCCTACTCTGACATGACACATGCAGAGAAGACTTCACGAAGGGGTTACACCTTTACACTGCAAAGGCAAAATTAGAAGTACAGGGAAATAAGAGAGCAATCAAAGTAAGGCAGGAATAATGGAATTCAGGGAAGACTGACCCTGATGTAGGGAGAGAAGGAGAGAAAAAGGTTAGGGACAGGAGGTCACTACCACAAGGCTTATTCTGGAGTTTGATGATAAAAAGTGGTCATTTCATGTGCCAACCTTGGTTCATTGGAGGTGACTTCCTGGAGCAAAGAGAACCCAGATATAAGCTGCAGGTGGATGGGGGAGGAAGCAGGGGAAGCTGGCATGAGCCTTGTGTGATGCCTGCCGGGGCGAGCAGGGTGGGTGGGCCTGTGCTGCTGAGCAGTGAGTAGGACGGAGACATGGAGGAACATTCATGAGCGTGGGCTGAGAGCTCAAAAATAAGGCAGCAAAAGCAAGAGATGTAAAGAAATTACTGTTCCAGAGAAGCAGCAGAAGGAAAAGAAACGTGGGTATGAACGGACACCAGAGATATAAAAGCTGCAGCAGAGTTCGCAGAAGGAAAAAGGACAGAAGGGAGGAAGGGTGAGAGCAGTGCATCTGGTAAATGATCAGGAACACTGGTTCCATGACAGGCATCTGCTGTGCTGGGCCACAGCTATGAGGGGAGGTGTAGAGCCCTGGAATGGGGTGGACAGAGACAGGAAAAAGGGAAAAACCAAATTTTAAATCCTGAGTCCCAGAACATGGCCCTTAATAAAACTGGGATCTAGCTGGGTCACAAACAAAGCAAACAAGGCATATGTGGACCAGGTGCAAGAACATGGAGGTACCCATTATCCACAGGCCTTTTCCTTACATAATGCTTGCCTGCTCACTGCATGAATAAATCAGTGAGTCAACAAATGAGTGGCTGACACCACAGGCAATTTCCTTACAGCCTGGGAAAGACTGAGAGCAATGGCAAGTCTGGGTTCTTACAGTGGCTATAGGAAGCAGTGGATACAACTCTCTAAGAAATAACTAATCTAGTGCTAGCCAAATTTGCTCAATCAAAACAGCAGCTGGCATGGTTGCTAAGAATACCAATTCCCAGACTACTCTTTTGGAGATTCAAATTCAGGAGGTCTTGGGTCCAGTGTGGGAATCTGTTACTTCTAGCAAGCATCCTGGGTGACTGTGGTGGTCTGGGATTACAGGAGAGAGAGGGCAAATGACGAAGGGGCGGGTGAGCTGAGACCATCTGAGCATGGATACAGGACCCCTCTCTGAGCACACCGAGTGGCAGCCACGTCTGGGAACACTGACCATCATCAACAGGGCTGTCCAGGCTGCAGCTGAAAGACCACTTACCATGCAGCGATTTCATTCCTAAGGTGTAAGAAGGCCTCCTCAATGGGAGTGACTTGGGGAGAGAAGGGTACGTGCTACTGAAGAGGACATCGTTGGGCAGGGCTTGGTCCAGAAGTGATGCCCTGGAGGTGAAAAAGTGCTCCCTCTGGCTACTGTAAATGCTCTCGTCCGACAGTGTTCTGTGCAAGGCCCGCCGTGAGGTGGGGGTGCTGGGGAAAGGAGACTGAGGAGAGGAGAGTGCGTGGAACTGAAAAACAGGATCGAGACAAAAGAAAGTCAATTTTCTGGTTCAGATCCCTGAGACCAAGGTTGGGGGAGGGTGGGATAACCAAGTTACTGGTTCAGATACACCCCCAGCAAGGAAGCTTCAGGGCCCACTGTCTATTTCTACATCCTCAAGGAGCTAACCCAAGAGTTCCTGGTCGTTATTGCTTAGTCTGGCACGCTGCCTGCAGCCTGTCGGTGCTCCCTACGTGATTCAGGTATGTGATTAAGTGGATTTATCAAGATCGTGTGTGGTTAAAAACAAGACTTTAGGATCAGACAAATGTGACTTTTATTTAAATCCTGTGTCTCTCACCAAATCATACAATCTCTCTGAGCCTAATTCCTCGTTTGTACAATGGGAGCACAAAACCTCTCGGGATTACCACAGGGATTAAACAAAACGCTGGACTGAGCACAATGGCGGGTGTCAGTGGCACGAAGAAATGGTGTTATGGCCCCTGGGGGAACAGAGAGCCACAGTGCTAGGAGGGTGTCCTGATAAGCTTGTCAGATGATAACACGCTTGCTGGGCAACAAGGGTATTTGATCATCAAAATATTTTAACTCACATAGCAGGTAGCTCTTGATTACTAACTTATACCAACTGAATCTATCAAGGTAGATACATTTCATGAGTTTTGGAGAAAGTTTATTTTTTGAAGATGCATTTCTATTCATGAAATAAGAATAGGGTAGGCTGGGCATGGTGGCTCATGCCTGTAATCCTAGCACTTTGGGAGGTCAAGGTGGGCAGATCACTTGAGGTCAGGAGTTCAAGACCAGCCTGGCCAACATGGTGAAACCCCATCTCTACTAAAAATGCAAAAATTACCCAGCCGTGGTGGTGTGCACCTGTAATCC